CTGGATCACTTTTCTTTTTTGTTGTTGTTGAGATGGAGTGTCGTCCTATCCCCCCAGGCTGGAGTGCAATGGCCCTATCTGGGCCCACTGCAGCCTCCACCTCCCGGGTTCAAGTGATTCTCCTGCCTCAGATTCCTGAGTAGCTGGGATTACAGGCACATGCCACCATGCCTAGCTAATATTTGTATTTTTAGTAGAGATGGGGTTTCACCATGTTGGCCAGGCTGGTCCCAAACTCCTGACTTCATGAACTGCCCACCTTGGGCTCCCAAAGTGCTAGGATTACAGGTGTGAGACACCATGCTTGGCTGTGTCAGGTTTTGATAACATAAAAGAACAAATTCGTTTTGAAACTATTACGGCAGCACAGAGTATCACCTGTGGATGGCAGCCCAGATGCATCTTTTTTAGGTACTTCATACTGTTATCTGATAATGTTAAACTCCTAAAATTTAGGCAACACATGCAGATGATTCCAAGTTTCTTAAAGGGGAATTCTCTGGCACTGATGGCCTCCAGCAGTGATAGGAAAGCAAACCTACCATGTAAATCTAACATCCTCCAACCAGACAACCAGCTCCCTCCCACGCTCCCACTGTCCTCACCACTCACCCTGTACATTTCAGCTTCCAGCGCTATACATTCTCAGCACAGTACCCGCCGGGCTGTAGCCACCATGCCAAGCAGGACAGCAAACTCGATCTGTGTGTGACTGAAATGCCTCTATTTCCTTTACCAGTATGTCTCACAGGAGAACAGATTTTAAGACACATATTCTTAGCTTCAAATATGTCAAGGAGCCTTTACTCTCCTCAATCAGTGGCTCATAAGCCAGAGCCACTCATATTGAAGTGCTTGAGCAATTTTCAGATTTTCAAAACACCAAACAGAAATCAGCAATGAGCTGCTCAGACTTCAATGGCACAATTCAATATCAACTCACTGTGGTAAGGTTGTTTAAACCACAGTAATTGGATGGTCTAAATAGCAGCAACTCCAGGCCAGGCGCAGTGGCTCACGCCTATAATCCCAACATTTTGGGAGGCCGAGGCGGGCGGATCACGAGGTCAGGAGATCGAGACCATCCTAGCCAGCCAACATGGTGAAGCCCCGCCTCTTAACAACAACAACAAAAAGGCAGTAACTCCAAAGGCGTGTGCATGGTGGTGGTGAGATAATCAGGTGCTGGTGTAGAGGTGTATGTGTGTCTATTTGGGGAGGAAGGAGAACACCCCAAAATAAAGCCAAGGAGACATTGCATCACAGATGTAAGCTCTCTGCACCACGCTCCTCCACAGTTCAATGTCCTTTCAATCTAAGTGGCAATTTCTGTCATTTTCACTAGTCTCCTGTGTGCCAGCCTAATTCTGACAAACAAAAGTGAGCGGTATACATGCCATCAGTTTGGGAAGTCCCACTGCATTAGAGCCCACGAGTGGATAAAGCCTAGGGCCTTGTTCCAGCTCTGCTACCACAGGCAGGTGGGACACTCCACACAAGTCACTTGGCCTCAGTGGAACTCATTCTCTTTCTGAAAAATAAGTAGTTTTATTTCTTTCTTTGAGTCTTGCTCTTTTGCCAGGCTGGAGTGCAGTGGCACGATCTCAGCTCACTGCAACCTCTGCCTCCCGAGTTCCAGCGATTCTCCTGCCTCAGTCTCCTGAGTAGCTCAGACTACAGGTGCATGCCACCACGCCCAGCTAATTTTTCCATTTTTTTAGTAGAGATGGGGTTTCACCATATTGGCCAGGCTGATCTTGAACTCCTGACCTCATGATCCACCTGCCTTGGCCTCCCAAAAGTGCTAGGATTACAGGTGTGAGCCACAGCACCCGGCCTAAAATCAGTAGTATTCAAAAGCATTCCTTGGGCACTCCAAGGAAGGGTAAGGGATGAGATCTATGAGACAGAGGGCAGAGCTCTGAGAACCCTACCACAGATCTGCCCAGTTGTTTTACATATTAATCTCCCTTAAAATGCCATCTAAAGAAAGCCTTTTTTTTTTTTTTAAAGAGACAGCATCTTGCTGTCACCAGGGTGGAGTGCAGTGGTTCAATCACAGCTCAATGCAGCCTCAACCTCCCTGGCCCAATTGATACTCCTACCTCAGTATCCCAAGTAACTGGGACTATAGGCTTGTACCATCGCACCTGGCTAATTTATTTTTCATTTTTTGTAGACCCATGGGCCTCACACTATTGCCCAGAATGGTCTTGAACTCCCGCCAGTGCCTTGCAAAGTGCTGGGACTACGCGTGTGAGTCACTGCACCTGGCCTAAACTAAGGCTTCTAAAACAAACACTGAACTTCTGGAAATCATCTACTCCAACCTCACCTCCAGATTTAACCATCCAAGGATCAAGGTAACATTTATACTAACATTTACAGAGCACTTTCTAAGTATTAGGCTTTTTTTTTTTTTTTTTTTTTTNTTTTGAGACGGAGTTTCGCTCTTGTTACCCAGGCTGGAGTGCAATGGCACGATCTCGGCTCACCGCAGCCTCCGCCTCCTGGGTTCAGGCAATTCTCCTGCCTCAGCCTCTTGAGTAGCTGGGATTACAGGCACGCACCACCATGCCCAGCTAATTTTTTGTATTTTTAGTAGAGACGGGGTTTCACCATGTTGACAAGGATGTTCTTGATCTCCTGACCTTGTGATCCACCCGCCTCGGCCTCCCAAAGTGCTGGGATTACAGGCTTGAGCCACCGCACCCGGCGGCTTTTTTGTTTTTTTGAGACAGAGTCTTGCTCTCTCACCCAGGCTGGAGTACAGTGGCACAATCTTGGCTCACTGCAACCTCCGCCTCTTGGGTTTAAGCAATTCTCTGCCTCAGCCTCCCAGGTAGCTGAGATTACAGGCACCCGTCACCATGCCTAGCTAATTTTTTTTTATTTCTAGTAGAGACAAGTTTTCACCATCTTGGCCAGGTTGGTCTTGAACTCCTGACCTTGTGATCCACTCGCCTTGGTCTCCCAAAGTCCTGGGATTACAGGTATGAGCCACCACACCCAGCCTAGTATTAGGCTTTTAAAATATCTTATTAACCCAAATATCTTATTAACCCTTCATATCAATCCTAGGAGAGGGATATTATTTCCACACTTAGAGTTGGGAAATTTAAGGCTCAGAAAGGTGAAGTGACTTACCCAGTAACAACATGAGGAATTAAGGTATCAAAGTCTTTAGTCATTTCTTCTATACCTCACTGCCTGCCTTTCCAACCATACTAATTCCACCTCTTGACCTGCTTGAAGTTCCCCCACATCATTTTAGCAACTACAACTAAGGAGTCAAAAGTGCTTCCTGCCAAACGCAGTTGGTACTCACTTCCCACCTATTTACAGAATTGTGACTAATGAGGAGGGACAGGAAGACGTGGGACACATGACGAAGAGCTTCCTCCCAGGTTTGCTGTTCCCCGCTAATTAATCACCTCCAAGTTTTCATCGCACCTCTTTAATCTTGCAAGGTCTCTTCTCTTCTCCCTCTCACATCTTCTCTAAGTTTACATTCCCATGCAGGCTAAATCAAAGACTCAGTTTTTTAAATCAAGTTCTGACCAATGGCAGGTGGATCTGAAGGTTTACTTCTCAGCTCTCCGACCATCTGTGCTTCCAAATAGTCCTATAACAAATGCTTCTATGTATGTGACTAAGCCTTTTCCCCATACTCCACCTACACACCACTCCAAACCCTGGACCCCCATCTTAAATTACACCCTACATTGTACTTCTGCATGAGTCCTTGGAGGGTGAAAAGAGAGGGTAAATAGTAGGAAGAAACTCTAAAGGAAAAGGTCAAACCAGACAGACATACCCTCTTCAGGTACCTTGGATCCTCTCCCCAGGGTTTCTAAAGGATGCACAAACCTGAGACAAGTGATGGTTAAAAAAATTTGGGTTTTATTGTTTTTGCTAAATAATACTAAAAAAAAAAAAAAAAAAAAAAAAAAAAAAAAATTCATTTTTAAGGCAGGGCTTGAATTATTTAATTTTGATCCATTTATTTAATTAAAAAAAAAAGGAAGGGGAAAGAGATCATGGCCAAAAAAATAGTAGTTAACCCCCACCCCACCCCCAAAGCTCTAGCCAGTCATGTGAGCATCACCCACATCCACTCAGTGCCTGATATCCAGATGGTGGCATACTCTGCCCCATGAGACTGCCTGAAGGCACAGGGCAATGGATGCCAATTTTAGCTCTCAGCAGGTTAGTCAACCAGACAAACTAATGGGCTGAAGTCCAGAAATTCTTTCCAGGTTTTCTGCTCATTGGCTGAGCACATACAAACTGTCATAAGCTTGTAAAATTTAAGGGGAGTTGGGGTGGGGCATAAGAGCAAGAGGACAGCAGGAGAAGAGAAACTACAGGTCACCCAAGCTTTTTCTTGGGCTAGTGGCTCTGGATACAGATTTAAAGAGAGGTCAGAGTAGATGCACTCCAGGTTTCTTATCAAAGAAAACTATCCCTCAAATAAGAGGAGCTGAGATGTGCCATGCAAAGAGTTCTTCCTGCAGAGGCACAGGAGAAAGGGCAGCTGACTCTCTCATGTGGAGAGAGTGGCGAGGAAGTTCTAGTACCATGAAGTAAGACAGGCAGAGGGAGAATCCTGAGGTTTGGGCCAAACGTGAGACTGGTACACACAGTTAGACTAAAAAGCCATCAGGAACCCTCAAAGCCAAATTCTACTGCACACACTGGCTCTACAAAGTTCACAGCAAGAATCTCTTGCACCAAGTCAAGTTAGTGGCCTGGCTATGGATGGTGGGGAGGGCAATACATTTTTATTTTCAGAGGGATGAGGTGGGAAGAATAGCCATGATCTAGTAAAAAGAGACCTGCAAGAAGCAGAAAATATTTAGAGAACATTTTAATATATATTTTCATATATATATTTAAAGTTAAGAAAAATAAAACTAATTCAAGCCATGCCCTGTGCAAAAAAAAAAAAAAAAAAAAAAAAAAAAAAAAAAAAAAAAAAAAAAAAAAAAAAAAGAAAGAAAAAAAAAAAAAAGAAAACAAAAAAAAATTTAAAGTGAGACACTTTTGCTGCTCTGGTCTCAACTTAAGAATCACAGTCAGCTTGTTATTTTTATTTTGGAAGATGTAAAAGTTTCTTTCAATCATTCGGAAGGCAAGAGTAGCCACTTATAAAAACAGAATGGCAGGAACAGACTAGGAAAGGAAAGTCAGAAGGGCAGAGTGGGAAAGGAATTTTCAAAAATAAAATTAACAAGGTGACTGTTCCAGAAGGGGGCTGTGAAAAGGACATGGTGGACCGAAGTCTGTTAGTCAAGTAATGATTCAACTTTTAAATTATTCTCTTGTTCTTTTTTGTTGGGTGTTTTGTTTGTTCAAGTCTAAGATTTGGAAATGCTGACCCTTTGTTAACAAGAGCCAACAGGACATATAGGATCCCTTCCCTCCCCCGGCCTGCCTCCGCTGAAGCCACCACCAGCGCCTCCTTGGCTGGATGCTGGAAGAGTCCTCCATGTATACGGACTCAGGATGACAGGGCAGCCTCCTTCTGTGGTTGCTGGGCTTGTGAACGTTGCAGTATCTTTTGGCTTTCCACGTCTCTAAAATGTTTTTCAACCTGAAAAAGACCAAGCAACCAAGGTCAGTAAAGGAGATGGACAAGAAAGGTCCAAACAGAAAGGTCCCAAACAATCCAGCCGAGGTTTCAACAGCCCCGTCCGCCCTGGCTGTCCAGCCTATGCACTAGCCAGGCACCTCTGTCCTTGCTGTCTACTGGCCTTTCCAACCACAAGGTAGGCCAGGGTCTCCTGCTTCAGCCACATTTTTTACAGTTTCCACTAAGAGTGGCTAGAAGAGGGTGAATATACAAACTAAATGATAAAGGCAATGATAAAATGAGAGGAGATTATCATGACCTAAACTCCTCCTCTTTTCTACACAGTACAGAATGAAAAGCTGGTGGGGAAATTACAGTCTTTTTTTTTTTTTTT